AAAAAAAAAAAAAAGAAGAAGAAGCTCAGGGTCCCAAAACAGTCCCAGTCTCCATGCTGCATCCATGCCCCACCCCCTACCATTTTTCCAGATATGCACAAGAGGCCTCCTGAGAGGGAGAGACAATGCCTTTATTTGCTGGCAGACAGGTCACTCATGTGGAACACTGAGCCAGGATTGAGAAGAGGTCACTGAATGACTCACAGAAGCAGAGGGAATCCACCCAGAGCCAAAAGACTCAGTACAGTCATTTGGAGAGTGGAGTGACTCTGGAGCAAGAAGAGACCTCAGATCGGGCTCTGGTTCCAAAGGTGTCAGGAGAAAGCCAGAGTGGCTCTGGAGGGTTGGTGCCCATTCAGCAGCAGGGATTCTGGCCTGAGGAAGAGCCACAGCAGGCAGGCTTGCACAAGGGGTGGCAGAGCAGGGACATGCTGGAGGAGGCAGGGGTACAGCAGGAGGAGGAGGACACACAGCAGGCAGGCTTGCACGCAGGTTGGCAGATGAGGGACACACAGGAGGAGGGTTTACAGCAGGAGGTTGTACAGGTAGAGGGCTGGCAGCATGAGGGGGCAGGGCAGGGGCTGGCCCCACAGCAGACAGGCACACAGCAGACAGGCTTGCAGCAGACGGGCTTGCAGCAGACAGGCTCACAACAGACAGGCTTGCAGCAGACGGGCTCACAGCAGATGGGCTTGCAGCAGACGGGCTCACAACAGGCGGGCTTGCAGCAAACCGGCTCACAGCAGATGGGCTCACAGCACACAGGCTTGCAGCAGGTCTGCTGACAGGGGGAGGGCACACAGCATACTAGTTGGCAATTAGACTGCTGGCAACAGGAGGGTACACAGGGGCTGGTGCAGACTGATTGGCAGGGGCTGGACCCACAGGTTGCCTGGCAGCAGGAGCTGGACACACAACTCACAGGAGTGCAGATGAGGGTCTGGCAGGGGGCCGGGGCACAGCTGGTGGGGGTGCAGCAGGTGGACTGGCAGCAGGTGGGGGCACAGCAGGTGGACTGGCAGCAGGTGGGGGCACAGCAGGGTGGCTCACAGCAGCTCTCTGGGCAGTTGTCCACCTCCCAGGAGGAGTCGGTGCAAGTCCCACAGGACCCGGGCAGGCAGACACAGCTGTCATAGCTTAGGTCATTAGAGCAGACAGACATGTTGGAAGCAGCCATGGCGTGGGGTAGGGTGGGAAGAGGTGAAGTTGTACAGGAGGAGGGTAGGAGTGAGTGAGTGAGTGAGTGAGTGAGGAGCTCTTGAACTCCAGGGCTTTTATATCCCTCTGTGTTGTGTGTTGTCTCAACAGAGACCTCAAAAGCTTCCCTTCCTGGTTGGTGTCACAGCAGCAGCTGCTGTTGTTTTCATGGTACCTGTTCCTTGTTTTGACACTACTGGCCTGAGACTCCTGTGTAACCTGTGTTTGTTCCAAGATAAACCAACAGAAATGCTTCTAGTACATCAAGATACCTGCAAGACACCACCACAGAAGCCGTCAGTCAATTTTTAAAATGAAGCACTCTGAGGTTTCCTGTGGGGTTTGTTCATTGTCTCCTTTTCTTTGTTGGTTGAGAATGGGAATGGGAGACACAGTCAAAGATCCTTCTGAGCATGTTTGCCTGGCCTTGTGCCAGGCCTGCTCTGAGGGTAATGTCACCTATTGTCAGTGGACCTGGAAGACCTGCGTCTGACCGGTGAGTCATGGGCAGGTATATGGGAACCATGTCTTCCTGGGAGCAGAGATCAGTGCAGGTGGGATGCAGACCCAGCACAGTAGGGATGCCATGAGGTGCAATTGGCTTCTGCTGTGTTGGAACTTCAACTTTTATACAAACAGCATGCACAAATGCTCATACCTTCCTCTGTCCTCACAGCTCAGACAACACCTGCAATGGTCTTTGTGTGCCACTGAGAAAAAGTCCCCTTCCTCTGTTCCTCCTTGTCTCCTGCAGGCCAGGACATCATCGGGAAGTAGTGGCCATGAACCCAGCCTCTGTGTCATCTCCTGGAATTGTTGCAGTAAATGCACAAACCAAGGTCTGGCTGTGCATGGGGATCTGGGAGTGGTCCTCTAATAACCTATGCCCTGTGTAAAATTACACACAATTCACAGTCAGTACTATAGACCTGCAACCCAATAAGCACCCAGTGCCTGATTGTGGGTCCTTTGTACTCTCCTGCAGCCAGCACTCCTCCAAGCAGATGATCAGAAACAGCGGGTCCTCAGCAACCTTCCACTAGCCAGCTCTGCCAGTTAGCCCAGGGCTCCCTGAGGGCTGAGGCCTCACTATTTTCTGATGAGGCAGGACTCACACTCTCCCTGCAGACTTTGTCATAGAGGCTGCCCAGGTGATCATACCACTCCCAGGGCCCTGCCAGCCCTGGTCAGGATGGGGAGAAGGACCAGACTGTGGAGCTGTCCTAACCAGAGCTGGGGCTGCCTCTCAGGCCTCAAGGGATGCCTCAAGGTCCTCTGAAGTGACCATGGGGTCACTGAATTCTCTGCCATCCTTTGTCTTCGCCCCATCTTGTCTTCCAAGCCTGGCCTCTCCCCTGAGGCCCACCTAGGTGTTCACACAGCTCTGGGCTTTGACTGACATTCTTCCTCTCTGTTACCCCACCCAACTCAGCTCTGAGCCTGCCTTTTCTATCTCCTTTGCCTCCCATGATGTACAACCTCCCATGGCCACTACTCCCTCTCCAGCTGTGGGTATGGTGCCTCTAGGGTAGGTGCCAAGAAGCTTCCACCTTGCCTATACATGAGGCACTCAGGGCTAGCTAGCTGAGTGAACACATCTCAGATGCGGGGAGATATTCTGTCTATCATTAAGTTCAGCTATGGACAGAAGGATAACTCCTGACTCTGGCTGTGTGGCTAAGGTTGCTGATGAGGATGTGTGTTCCTCAGAACTGGCCCTAGGATAAGCAAGACTGTACCTGGATATTGTGGACAATAATAAACTTGTAAATGTGGTTATAGTCCAAGTCACTTTTATCATTCTAGAATAAAGAGAAAAGCATTCCTGTTTCTTTTTCTCTGAGTCATCTTAAGAGAATTGTAGAATTTGGTTCCTCAAGACAACTGGAAATTATTTTAAGTCCAATGTAAGAAAAAGAAAAACATACCTGTTGATGAATATTACATAGTCACTCTAAACTATAACGTTTTGTAGTTAGGTGCCATCAAGTTGTCTCCAATTCATAGCAACTCTATGTACAACTCCTCGAAAGGAAGGTTGGGCAATCCTACTTCCGTAGTGATACTGCCTCGGAAACCCAAGGAGGGGTCGCTATGAGTCGGGGCCGACTCAACGGCACATAACAACAACAACAACAACAACTATGTACAACAGAACAAAACACTGCCCGGTTCTGTGATAGACTCACAATCTTTGCTATATCTGTGCCCATCGTTGAAACCACTGTGTCAATCCATCTCATTGAAGGCCTTCCCCTGTTTCATTAACCCTCCACTTTACCAAGCACGATATCCTTCTCCAGGGAATGGTCCTGTGATATTTGGAGCTGTGTGTCAACTTGGCTAGACCCCAGTTCTGTGTGGTTGTTCCCATGATGGGATCAGATGACTGTGTTCTGAGTGGCCAATCTGTTCAGGGAGAGTTTTCCTAGGGGTGTGACCTGCTTCCAGGATATCCAGGGGCATCCTGGGAAGAGAGACATTCTTCTGTGGATCGGGATTCTGTTGTGCTACCTACAACTGTCCATGAGTGAGCATTCCACCGTTCGGCCTGGAGATCTAGGATTAATCATTCGTTGGAGTCAACAGCTGGTGTACTGCCTGCCAGCCTTGAGCTTTTCACCCCTGTGGTTGTGGAAGCTAGGAAAAGCCTCCAGCCTGACGTTTGCTCCGAGGACTTTGGACTTGCCAGCTTCTATACGTTTGTGAGCCATTTTCCTCAAATAAATTTCTCTCTCTCTCTCTCTCTCTCTCTCTCTCTCTATATATATATATATACATTATATATGTAAGCTTTGCTGGTTTTTGTTTCTCTAGAGAACCCAGTCTAACATAGGTCTCTTCTGACAACATGGCCAAAGTAGGTCAGACGAAGTCTGGCCATTCTCACTTCCAAGGAGCATTCTGGCTGCACTTCTTCCAGGACAGATTTGTTAGTTCTTGTGGCAGTCCATGATATTTTCAGTATTCCCCAACACCACAACTCAAAAGTGTCAACTCTTCTTTGGTCTTCCTTTTTCATTGTCCAGCTTTCATTTGCATATGAGGCTATTGAAAATATGATGGCTTGTATCAGGCACACCTTAGTCCTCAAGGAGACATCTTTGTTCTTCAGCACTTGAAAGAGGCCCTTTGCAGCCGATTTACCCAGTGCAATACGTCTTCTGATGTCTTGGCTACTTCTCCCGTTGGTGTTGATTGTGGATCCAAGTAATATGAAATCTTTGACAATTTCAATCTTTTCTCCATTTCTTATGATGCTGCTTATTGGTCCATTTGTGAGGATTTTTGTTTTCTTTATACTGAGTTGTAATCCATACTGCAGATTGTAGTCTTTAATCTTCATCAGTAAATGCTTCAAGTCATCCTCACTTTCAGCAAGCAAAGTTGTGTTGTCCGCATATCTCAGGTCATTAATGAATCTTTCTCTAATCCTGATGCCACGTTCTTCTTCATATAGTCAGGTCTCAGATTATTTGTTCAGCATGCAGATTGAATAAGTATGGTGAAAGGATACAACCCTGACACACACCCTTCCTGATTTTAAACCATGCAGTATCCTCTTGTTCTGTTCGAACAACAGCCTCCTGATCTATGTACAGGTTCCTCATGAGCATAATTAACTGTTCTGGAATTCCCATTCTTCTCAATGTTGTCCATTATTTGTCATAATCCACAAAATCAAATACTTCTGCATAGTCAATAAAACACAAGTAAACATCTTTCTGGTATTCTTTGCTTTCAGCCAACATCCATCTGTCATCAGCAATGATATCCCTCGCTCCATGTCCTCTTCTGAATCCAGCTTGCATTTCTGGAAGCTCTCTATCACCATACTGCTGCAACCATTTTTGAATTATCTTCCATAAAATTTTACTTGCTTGTGATGTTAATGATATTGTTCGATAACTTCCACATTCTGTTGGATCACCTTTGGCATGGATACAAATATGGATCTCTTCCAGTTAGTTGGCTAGGTAGCTGTCTTCCAAATTTCTTGGAATAGACAAGTGAGTGCCTCCAATATGGCATCTGTTTGTTGAAACATCTCAGTGGGTATTCTGTCAATTCCTGGAACCTTGTTCTTTGCCAATTCCTTCAGTGCAGCTTCGACTTCTTCCTTCAATACCATTAATTCTTAATTATATGTCACCTCCTGAAATGGATGAACATTGACCAATTCCTTTTTGTACAGTGACTCTGTGTATTCTTTCCCTCTTCTTTTGATGTTTCCTGTATCATTCAATATTTTGTCCATAGAATCTTTCAATATTGCAACTTGAGGCTTGAGTTTTTTTCTTCAGTTCTTTCAGCTTGAGAAATATCAAGCATGTTCTTCCTTTTTGGTTATCCAACTCCAGATCTTTGCACATTTCATTATAATAATTGACTTTGTCTTCTCAATATGCTCTTTGAAATCTGTTTAGCTCTTTTATCTTGTCATTTCTTCTATTTGCTTTAGCTACTCTCTGCTCAAGGGCAAGTTTCAGAGTCTCTTCTTACATCCATTTTGGTCTTTTCTTCCTTTCCTGTCTTTTTAATGACCTTTTGCTTTCTTCATGGTTGATGTTCCTCTGGTTCTCAGTCATTGGTCTTCAATGCATCATCAAATTTATTCTTTAGATGGTCTCTAAATTCAGGAGGGATATTGTCAAGGTCATATTTTGGCTCTCGTGGACTTGTTTTAATTGTCTTCATCTTCAAGTCGAACTTGCAAATAAGGAGTTGATGGTCTGTTTCACAGTCAGCACCTGGCCCTGTTTTAGCTGAAGATATTGAGCCTCTCCATAACCTCTTTCCACAGATGTAGTCAATCTGATTCTTGTGATCCCAATCTGGTAAAATCCACATGTTTATAACATAAACACTCAAAAATGTTCATATTAGATGTCAGTGGTAAATAGGCCACAGAATTCTAGATACTATGTAACTACAACTGTGTGAAACAAATCAACCAGCAAAAGCTCAATGGAAAAAAAA